TTCATGTTCTTGTCTGCGAGGGAGAGCGACTTCCACGCCAAAACAACCGACATGGGCCTGGCTCGGGCTCAGAAGCTCAATTACGTGGACCTCTCTGGTCGCAACCTCGTCACTATACCTATATCCTTATACTCAAAGGCCATGGAGATCATCTCCCTTAACCTCTCGCGTAACCTCTCGCTCGACGTCCCACGAGACTTTATACAGTCCTGTAAACATCTTCGAGACATCAAGTTTAACAACAACGAAGCTAGGAAACTACCGCCCAGCCTGAGTCGAGCAAACAGATTGACCTTTCTGGATGTTGCAAACAACCGGCTGGAGCAGTTGGAGCACGCCGAGCTCAACTCTCTTACAGGGATGCTGAAGATGAATTTGGCCAACAACCGGCTTAAACATTTGCCTTCTTACTTTGGAGCATACCAGTCACTTCGCTCTCTTAATATCTCTTCTAACTTCCTCGACAAGTTCCCGACTTTCTTGTGCAATCTCCCAAGTTTGGTCGACCTGGATCTGAGTTTCAATGCCATTGCAACGATTCCTCACGAGATTGGCGGCCTGAAGAACTTAGAGAAACTGTTGATAACTAACAATAGACTGACACACGCTGTACCAGCGTCGTTCGGACAACTTGTCAGCCTACGCGAACTCGACATCAAGTACAATGGTATCTCGAGCATCGACATCATTTCGGAGCTCCCGAAGCTTGAGATTCTTTCCGCCGATCACAACTGCGTCTCTGCCTTTGTTGGACAGTTTGAGTCCCTTCGCCAACTCAAACTGAACTCGAACCCCCTCAACAAATTCGAGATTGTTGCTCCTGTTCCTACACTCAAGATATTGAACCTATCGAACGCTCAGCTAGCCAGTATCGACTCATCATTCGTCAACATGGTCAACCTCGAGCACCTGATCCTGGATAAAAATTACTTCGTTTCGTTGCCTCAAGAAATAGGTACCTTGAGTAGACTCGAGCATTTCAGTATTGCGAACAATTCCGTTGGAGAGCTACCGGCTCAAATTGGTTGCTTGACTGAACTGAGAGTGCTCAATGTCCGAGGAAACAATATCTCCAAGCTGCCCATGGAGTTATGGTGGGCAAATCGACTGGAGACTTTCAACGCTTCTTCAAATGTTCTGGAGCACTTCCCCAAACCTGCTTCCAGAGCACCACGGATACCAGGAGAGGAATCACAACCGGCGCCCCCTCCTGTCAATGGACGAGCTGCGCCACTCGGAACTCTGTCGGCCACAGCAAGCTCTGAAGAGTTGTCAGACGATCGAAGACCCAGTCAAAATTCGAGCACCCTTCTCAGTGTCGGACCCTCTCCCCTTAACGCTGGCGACCGCAAGAGCTCTGTCGTGTCTGTCTATGGGAAGGGTGGCCGTAAGACCTCAGTTGTGTCTAGATCAGCAACTCCGTCGGCCCCAACGCAAACAGTCAACACCAGAAAAGATTCCGGGATGTCATCAAGGCTTAACAACACATTTGCTGGATCACTTCGTAATCTTCACTTGGCCGACAACCGTTTGGATGACGATGTTTTTGATCAGATCACACTGCTCGCAGAGCTCCGAGTGCTCAACTTGTCTTACAACGACGAAATCAGTGACATGCCACAGAGATCGATCAAGAACTGGCCTCAACTAGTTGAGCTTTATTTATCCGGAAACGCTCTCACGACATTGCCTGCCGACGATCTAGAGGAGTCCAGTTTACTACAGGCACTTTATATCAACGGCAACAGGTTTACCAACTTGCCAGCCGATATCTCAAGGGCCAAGAACCTTGCTGTTCTCGATTGTGGCAGCAACTACCTGAAATACAACATCTCCAACGTGCCCTATGATTGGAATTGGAATCTCAATCCGAACCTCAGATACCTGAATCTGTCTGGCAACAAACGCTTGGAGATCAAGCAGACGAACACAGGCCCTCTTGGGCCTGGCGCCGTCAATCGTGAGGAGTATACAGACTTCAGCCGTCTGCTTAACTTGCGTATCCTGGGCCTGATGGATGTCACTCTCACTCAGCCCAGCATTCCTGATCAGAGTGAGGACAGACGTGTCCGTACGTCTGGATCACTCGCTGGCCACCTGCCTTATGGTATGGCCGATACTCTTGGCAAGCACGAGCACTTGTCAACGGTTGATCTCGTGGTACCAAGATTCAACTCATCAGAAACAGAGATGCTCTTAGGCTTGTTTGATGGACAAGCTTTGTCTAGTGGTGGATCTAAGATCGCTAAATACTTGCATGAAAACTTTGGACACATTTTTGCTGGCGAACTGAAGCAGTTGAAAACACGATCGAACGAAACACCGGTCGATGCACTACGACGCTCGTTCCTCCAGCTCAACAAGGATCTGGTCACTATTGCTATCCAGCAATCCGAGGAGCGGCCGTTGAAGACGCATAGGGGCTCTGGCCAGCCTGTCATACTTACCAAGGAAGACCTCAACTCAGGGGGTGTGGCAACTGTGGTTTATCTCCAAAGTACGGAACTATATGTTGCAAACGTCGGTGATGCACAGGCGATGGTGATCCAGACAGATGGTACTCATAAGATGCTGACCCGCAAGCATGATCCTGCCGAGCCCAGCGAGAGATCGCGCATTCGCGAAGCTGGTGGATGGGTGTCTCGCAACGGCAGACTGAACGATCTACTCCAGGTTTCACGCGCCTTCGGATACGTCGACTTGATGCCGGCCGTACAAGCAGCACCCTATGTCAGCAACATGACTATCCGAGAGCAAGATGACATTATCTTGATTGCGACTGGCGAACTCTGGGAGTACTTGTCACCTGGTCTGGTGACAGATATTGCGAGAGCCGAGAGACAAGATCTCATGCGAGCGGCCCAGAAGCTTCGCGACCTGGCTATCGCATACGGCGCCTCGGGCAAAATTATGGTCATGATGATTAGTGTTGCTGACTTAAAGCGACGGGTTGAGCGATCCAGACTCCATCGCGGTGCGAGTATGTCGCTTTATCCATCTGGCATCCCTGATGACGCCCAGGTTCTCAATACCAGGAGGGGCCGAAGGACCAAGGGCGACGTTCTCGATTCATCCCTAAACCGACTCGAGGCAGAGATCCCAGCGCCTACGGGTAACGTGTCGATTGTCTTCACCGATATCAAGAACTCGACAACACTCTGGGAGATGTACCCCAGTGCAATGAGATCAGCCATCAAACTCCACAACGAGGTCATGCGTCGACAGCTGAGACGAATTGGTGGCTACGAAGTCAAGACTGAAGGTGACGCTTTCATGGTCTCCTTCCCGACAGCCACGTCCGCACTGTTATGGACGTTTGCCGTTCAGATGCAGCTCCTCGATGTGAACTGGCCATCAGAAGTCTTGAACTCAGTGTCTTGCCAGCCTGTTTATGACAAGGACAACAGTCTCATCTTCAAAGGACTGTCGGTGCGAATGGGTATTCACTTTGGAGACTGTGTGAGTGAGACGGATCCAGTTACGCGACGTATGGATTATTTCGGACCCATGGTGAACAAGGCGGCTCGAATCTCCGCGGTCGCAGACGGTGGACAGATCACGGTCTCGACCGACTTCATCTCGGAGATACAGCGGTGCCTGGAGAATTATCAGGATACAGATCGCGGGAACGCTTCAGGCTCCGAGGATACCTTTGACGATGAGACATATGCTAGTGCCATTCGAAAGGATTTGAGATCCCTCACCTCTCAAGGCTTTGAGGTTAAGGAGATGGGCGAGAAGAAGCTGAAGGGTCTGGAAAACCCTGAGGTTGTGTACTCGCTCTACCCTCATGCATTGGCTGGACGTATCGAATTCCACCTGCAGCATGAGAGGAAGGAAGAAGGGGGAGGTGGTGGTGATAAGCCAGCTGTCCTGGCACCCGGAGCAGAGCTCAGTATCGACCCAGATGCAATTTGGACTCTTTGGAGAATCAGCTTGCGACTTGAGATGCTTTGCAGCTCGCTGGAAGGCAACGAGGCCCCAGGGCTACAACCACCAGAGACAGAACTGCTCGAGCGCATCAAGCAGCGTGGAGGAGAGGTCACAGATCGCTTCTTGTTGAACTTTTTGGAGCACCAAGTGAGCAGGATAGAGGTGAGTTTGAGCTGACCTACACACGAGTGGAACCTTACTGACAACGTTAGACCTGTATATCGACACTGGCGATGCGCCACCTTGCTACTGGTGGTGGCCCTATTAAGGAACTAGAAGATCTCCAGGGCCCAATGGCTGCAATCTTGGATATGTTCATGGCGCAGAGAAAGGAACTTGAACGATACAGAAGGAAATATGGTGCGCTGCCAAGCCCCTCCAGTAGTGAAGATGAAGATGACGACGACGACGACGACGACGATCCTGACGCAGAGGAAGGGAGCGACACAGAGCAAGAGTTGTGATTGGGTTCAGACGATTGGTTTATTTGAACGTTACCCGAGCACTTATATATGCTATAATCACCCACGCGACACGAGGAACACGACAAGGGGAGGGTAAACAGAACGTTTTTTGCTTGCACGATTTACTTTTGGATGGGAAACTTTGTCTTTTTGAGTAGGTGCTGGGTTTGCTCTCTATATTCCAGACGCTTCGGTGCGAGGTGCTCATGTGTTTGCGGTTGGGTAGGGTAGGGTCGGGCTGGGGTTGGAAAAGATATTGGGTACGAAGATGGCAGGGCAGGGCAAGGCAGAACGTGGCGTTGGGCTATGGAGAAAGCAAGGAAATATTGATACTTGGCTGCTTTGTCTGCCGGGAGGCTCACATACTATACATTGTTGCGCCCAGTGTAAATTGGGATGATGGGTTCTTGTCTTTTCAGGGGTTATGGATGGCATCGAGGAGTCCACGCAGGCACGTATGCATTGTTTATACGATATGATAGGGCATTGCAAAATCAGACGATGTAGTATCACAAGGCATGACCTCGTGCGCACACTCATACTGACTGATTATTGAACTGTGATGGAAGCGGACACTGACCTTGTGTCGTCTTGACGATCTGACTAACTGACACGCCTCAAGATCCGGATTCGGGGTGACATTCGAGGTCCAACCCACCAACCACCTGTATAGCCCCTGACCAGATTTCTGACAGCAGCAACATTGGCGCCCAGTCCAAGTATTTTCTCACCACCGATAGTTCCCTCCTCACTCTCATCTCCTGCAGCAGGAGAGCCAGGCTTGAGAATCTCAACACCGTCGTAACCCGCAACAACTCCTATAACCTGCCAGCCACCCAACACCTTGCGTGGGTTCTCTGCGAGAGCATAGTCGAAGCGCTCCCAGAAACGCGGCCAATAAAGTTGGTCTCCCTTTTCGGTCTTGTCGAAGACTAGAACAGGTGCCGTAGAATCAGGGTTGGGGCTGATGGGGAAAGCGATGGGACAACCAGATGGATTCTGCCCAAACAAGGTCAGCCCCGTCATACAACTCAAGACGTCGGCGTGGACGTCGATGACAGGAGTAGGGTCATCACGGGTGATGTAAGAGAGTTGCTGAAGTGCGTCACCGCCTGGATAGTTAAGTGAAGAGAATAGGAGCATGACAGTGCTGCCTGCGAAGCTGACGAGGACCGACAAGGCGATGGCGGCAGACACACCACGGTAGATAATGGATTTAGAGGCGCGAGAGGAGACAAAATTGGCGCCGAGAGCTGCAGCGGCAGTCAGAGACGGCACCACATAGAAAATGAAACGAGCCTCTTTATGAGGCTGAGCAGAATAAATGGCCACAAAGAGCAAGTTGGGGATCAACAATGTCTGGGTAGTCCGTGATGTGCCAGGCTGGAGTAGCGCATACACTGCCAACGCTGGTACGAAGGGGTTAAGCAATAGCTTGGGAAGCGCTGAGGTGAAATAGTAATGCCATGGAGAAACGCCCCATTCTGACGAAGATCCAAGAATAGCGTTGAAGTAGAAACCCCATAACTCGGGCCATAGGGGCTTCTGCCAGAAATACGAGTCAATGGGCACTGAAATAAGCAGCGAAGAGATGAATGAGCCGAGGAAAGTGAGAATCAAGGGGCACAGACCGATACGACCCGTGAAAAGGAGGTAGAGTCCCGTAGTGCTGAGAAGAACAGCGACTTCAGAGCGGAAGATGGCTGCCGCAATGACCAAGAGGGCGATGGCTTGTTTCTGACGAGCAGCAGACAGATGAGGTGAAGGTTGGGGAAGTAGGAATGCCGAAGCGAGGGTAGCTAGTCACAGTGAGCTGAAGGTTCTAGCATCGATGGTGTATGAGATGACTTACTGAGACAGAATGCGTACATGTTTGGCAACGTCCGGGAAACATAGTAGTTGATATGGAACTGACTCGCCATAAACACCACCCACCAAGCTGAGACACCTGATCCATAAGCTCTCTTGAGAGAAGACTTGAAGGTCAAGAGCGCAGCAACATTAGCCGCACCAAGGATTCCTCGAACTACAAGCTGTGCATGGTGAAAGCCAACAAGAGCGACGATGGGCTGCCCAAGTCCTGCGAGGAGCACAGCACCGAGAAAAGTCCGGGGTACGGCGCCGGGAAAGGTGAAGTGATCGTAAGTATGGGAGAGGCGTTCATATACATCCTGGGTGGGTGTTCCGTAGATGAGTATGTCGTGGGCTGCTTGTATATTGAAAGACTCTTCCACTTTTGTATAGGGCGACACAAGTAGATGAGCGAGTGGGATGGTGATGAGAAGACACGTTAGGAAGATATCTGGGAATGTTCAGTATACCTCACTTTTACAGCGCAACAGGAAACGATGTACCTGAAGTCTTCATCTTGGCTGATGTAGAGCTTTTACTCTAAGTACTACGAGAGCTACTGTAGATACCTCGGAGCTTGGTCGTATTGGTTTTCAAGCAAAAGGCGGAAAGATCTGCAAGATGAGAGGCGCCGCCAGATCAAGAAAGTCTCTCCATATCAAAGTAACCGCTATAAAAAGATATATAATAATTTAGGAGAATTCTTTTGTTCAACATGAGTGACTGAATGAATGGGTTGCCCATGAGCTTATTACCTCTTTAGGGGTCCTCGGATCGGTCTAACAAATCACCCGCCACAGAAAGAACACTCCCAGTCGTCACCCCTAGCCCCATTCCCCAGCAGGACCTAGGTACCTACCTGAAGGTAAGTAGGTACTTTAGTAGGTTGCATCGACCGTTCAAGCCACCAAAGCAAAAGGTACGTACCTCGAACTGCATGGAAGTCCTACATGAGATGGGATAGGTTAGTAGTTACACATCATCGCTAACTACTACCTCAGCTGCAACCAAGACCACCATTCTCAGCCCGTTTTGACCTTCAGTGCCGTCGCCCAAAATGTGGTTCTTTGGCAGTTTCCTTTACGGTAACAATACTTCTGCTCTCCTTATTCAGAGCCCATCAGCTAACATAGATCCCAGTTTGTATTCTACTCATCAACGCCGTCGCTGTCCTCTCCGAAGATCGTTTTCTCGCGCGCAGTACGAAACCCTCCCTCCCTGGCTCGAGCGAGCCTGTATAGCCCCGCGAACCTCATATCTGACCTGACCTCCTAGTCAATCTCTCTCCCGCTTCTTACGACCCTGCGTTCGGCGCTGGCCCAGATGCCAGCGTCAAAGCCAAGATCATCAACCTCATCGCGAGTGTCCGAACCATCATGAGGAGTACGTTCAACGCCCAAACCCACAACCGCGTAAACATAACGAGCTACTACTGCGCCTTTTGCAATGCGAGGAACTAATGTAGCAACAGTGCCACTGATCTTTGTCAATTCCGTTATCATCCTTTATGAGCTCATACTTGGTTGATTAGCGCTATGCCACCCACATACAAAGCGCAGCTGTAAAAAGAGGACACGGTAGACTTTTCTAGGCATCAATGGAGTCCGGCTAATCTTGGAACTGGAGTTTTTGTTGTTGATACGAATCACGGGAGGCCATGCGTGGGAGTACTACTCTTTGATATGAATACGATATGGAACGAGGCAGGACGAGATGCGGAACCCTCTCCATGATATAGTAGTGAAGGTAATCTTATTGCATACGTGTGATGCTAAACTCGACATGTGCATATTGTCTCGGACGTCATCTCCTCAGTTCGCTCATAGGCGTCTTATCTTGTTCGAAATATACCCAAATAGCTAAATGCATCAAGGCCTGTCCAAGCCTACGGAGGCTTCCGAACAGGACCTCCAAACACCTATGTATAATACAACTGCCACGCTATGGGTGGTCTTGTTCAGGCCTCGATCAACGTTTATCGACCAAGCAAGCCCATTCGAGCAGTAATAACCAAGTTTGCTTTCTGCTCCATGCACCCGTGTTCCATCTTCTACTTGATACCTTCTGTAATTAGGCCTTCTTGCCTTCACATAATGCAAGCTGTGGCAAACCTGTTTTTCCTGAGACTAAGGACAACAAAATGCCAGAGACCCGAATCCTGAATGCTTTTGAGGACCACCGTCGCCCTATTATGCTCTTGTCTCATGCAGTGAGTGCTTCATTCAAAGCGCATGGGTATCCTGCCATCCACCAACACGCCCCCTGACCACAAAGATGCAATACATTTCAAGGTTCCTCTTTCCGTATGTAGACGTGATAGGTACGTTCATGTTGGAGTTACGAAAGTAAATTCGTGCTCTTTTTACGTCCCAAGCTGAAGCTGAGGCGATCCTTGAGCTTGTCGTGTTTATCGCCTGCATCGCCGTTAGGCGTATCAGGCGTTTGCCCTGCCGATTTGTCTTTGTGGAAAAGTGAGAAACTTCTCCTTGACATCGACTTGCTACCACGTTTGGTTCGGTCGAGAATTCCATTGCTCTGAGGTGTTCCGTTTTCTTTCTTTCTTGCTTCCTCTTCTTGTGCTGCAGACTTCTTGCTGGCTTCCAACACTTTCGCTAGTTCATCGTTCTCATTTCGTCGTGCCTGTATCGCTTTGTAATTGTCTTCTCTTCGTTTCTTCTCGTCAACCTTGGCCTGTTTCTCTCGCTCCTTCTCCGCAAGTTTCTCGGCCTTCTCAGCAGCTTCACGCTCCTTTTTCTCTCGTTTCTTGTCCTCTTTCGATTTGGCTTCTTCTTTCTGCGTAGTGACACGAGTCAGGCCATTTGTTGCAGCTGCAGCGGCTGCTGGGGGCGCAGGATCCGGTTGGGGAGCTGAAGGCATGACCGGTGCCGTACTGGCATGGGCAAGATTTGCCATCGACTCGTGATGTGTCAGGGGCGACATGGGCTGCGTTGCTTGCCGTCTCAGAGGCGCCGTATCTAATTTGTCCCCGTTCTCCTGAGCCAGATTGGCTGCTTCGCTAGCGAGTTTTACCTCCTCCATACCCTCTTTTTCTTGCTCCTCTCGCACTTTCTCGAATGTGGTTTCCTGGTAGAACAAAACGTACGCGGTTGCCATCCCTGGCTTGTCACCGAAGAAGTTGCGGACAAAATTCTTGTCCACCGGTTCAACCATCTCGTCGTCAAACAGGATCCACCCCCTGCCCGGAACCTTGATGATAGACACGTAGTGACCATGGTAGGCATTACCACCAATGTGGACCACTACTGCATATAGTTCGTAGAGTCGATCCGGGTCTTCGGCATTATCTGTCGTGTTGAACATGCGCAAGTGGTAGGGATAGACGACCCTATGGAAGAGCTTTTGCAAACGACTGTAATCTTCGGTATACTTGAACCGCTTCAAGTGGAGCGTTAAGATTTTGGGTAACCGCTTTACCTTCATTCGCTTCTCGGCCTCCTGAAGGCCACCACAATGGTCGCAATGGAACTTGTTTCTCTCACAGAGCATCTCCTCAGCTGAAAACTTTCTTAAGCAAGATGTCACTGACGAATGCTCTTCCAAGTCAATGGACAAATCAAGAAATGTCTCATCGCGCTGAGAAGCAGTCTCGCAAGTCAAGCACTTGGTTTCTGATGTGAGAACGCCTTCAAAAATGTCATGGACCCATCCCGTTGCTGGGGAACTTGACCCAGCTACGTGATTTACCATGGCAGATCCAAGAGCGTGTCCCACTGAAGTTGCCAGGCCATCAATGCCGTCAGCTGGCGCCTGCAACTGCATCTGGCGAGCTGTGCTCTCAACGCTGTTGATGACATCATTCAACACCAAGCCGTAGAACTCATGAGCGTCCTGGTGCATTGAGTTTCGAAACATTTCATTGTCGCGCTTGAATATCTCGAGGAATCGTTGTGGACTGAGGACTCCTGTGTGGGTGTTGCTTTCCAGCAAGGCCAGAAAAATGTCCTTAAGTCCAGTAAATGTGCATTCATTCATACCATAAGAAGTGGCATTCTCTCGTGCCAATTCCAGGATGGGCCCTTTGATCATCGCTTGTTTCTTCTTGTATTCGGGTGTATCAGGTTTGTCTTCAGGTCGAACGCCAACCTGCCCAGGCAACTGTTGATTCATGGCCTGTCGTTGCTTGATTACTTGGGATGTACTAAGGCCCTTTTGTTTCGGCAAGGTCTCGACAGGGTCAGTGGGTGGAGGTCTGATAGTGATGGGAACCCTTGGCCGGCTGCCGTTTGTCTCCGAGGGCATAATCGGGGGGTAATTGACAACATTGTTCCTGAAGGATTCGGAATAAAACAGAGCCTGAACGATCGAGTTGCAGTAGCTACACAAAAAGTCAGCATCGTAATTTGGCTGTATGATGCCTCACCCAATTCATACCATGTGTTCCCAAACTGTTTTCACGTTAGCCTAGTTCTTGCGATGGTAAAGTATCGACGATGATGAAAATAACAACAACCCGGGCGGGAGTAGGTAAGGTTCGACGTACATTCTCGAGGCCGAAAAAGCGATCGGCGCCATCGTCTCGAAGGGGAGCTGCATTCTGGAGCATCTTCTCGAGCGGCGTGAGGTCGAGCACGGGCTCTTCCTTCTTCTTTGCGACAACATCTTGCTTATTGGGTGTAGTGGTCGTGGCCTATGAACCGAAAGCGAGAGGGATTTTGTCAGTCATCAGAAGTAATCTTGGCGCAACTTAGAGTGAGCGAGAGATGGGGTTGGGATAGCCCAGGGCAGAAATGGAACAAGGAGCGAGTCCAAGACATACAGTGCCAGAACCCTTTATTTTGTTGAAAAAGCCGGCCATGGCGATGTTGTGATCTCTCCAGTTGAGGCAAGTAATTCAGTCGGAAAGCCGTGGATGGGTGAGCCGATCGAGGGACGTTATCAAGGCCGACCCGCACGCAACAGCTGCGCAGCAGCAGCACTCAGCGAAGACGATCGCAATTGAGACAAGGGACCATTCGCGAATGGCTTCGTATCTTCTGAAATGGCCAAAGAGTCGCGCAGGACGGGAAAAGTTGAGAAATTGCAAGCCAAGTCGGTTTTAGAGTTGCCGAGTTGTGAGCGAGGATGGATTATGGTGGTGGTGTTGGCTGCTGGGCGTCCTGGGGAAAGCGAGGCGCGGGTATGTGGCGTGGATGCGATAGCGCCGGAGTGAACTACTTGCGGTGATCTAAAAGCCGAACCGGAGACAAGAGACAATCGATGGTCTTGGCTAGAGAGAATCAGATATATAGGTCGTTACCAAGCGAATTCAAAGACACTTGGAGACGGGTGCAAACGAGAGGTGTCAAGTTACTGAAACTGCAAGAGAGAAAAGGCAGGCAAGACAGCTACCAACAGCAGAAAGACTGACTGACTACCTTACCTACCAACTTTAGGTAGAACCACAGGCGCAGTCGAGGCAGGTAGGGATGAAGGGTGGCGGGAGGATGTCCTAGTACAGTACTATGTAGAGGTCGAGTCCGGGGGAAGTAATAGTGGAGGAGGAGTGACCTGGACCCAGGTCAGGTTCAAGAAGGAGAAGGATGGATCAGTGACCTCGTGGTTGGATGGTGCCGTGCCCCAACATGGTAGGTGCTGTAAGCTTGTAAGGTCCTACCTACTACTTACCTGTGATGTTTTAACTGCTAATGTGTCTCTTTGTAGAATTTCACTTTTCAACGGCGCTGGATCATGTATTACATGGACAGTACGTAACGGTCTCCTGGGCAGAAGAAGTCATGATGAGATTAGAGCCTAAATAAGCCGACTATCGGTACGTACAAAACCCGTTGACACAGCCTACCCGGATGTTTCCTCTTTGGCGCACAATTTTTCGACAATGCTTGAATTGAGTGATCGATACCTCCAGCAACCTTCTGCAGCCGGAAGTGCTGCCGTCTCGATTCTCCTCTCCTGCATCGAGCTACGAAAAGGGCCCAGCTCGCGCAAACCCCAGTTTGCCTAGACCACCGGAGCCCCCAAATGACCCCCTCCAACTCACTAGGCCGTCATGATGGTGTCTCGCGAGTGGGTCCCCCAGAAAATACCATCCCAAAATCAGAGCTAGAAACGGAGCGCGTTAACTCCTTGTTAGATCAGAAGGTAGAGAGACACCGCTCTCGGGATTTCAGGAGGTGCTTGTCCGAAGAGCTGATAGCCTACAGCTGCCAAGCGTTTTTGATCACATAAAATGACACATACGCTTTTGCTCTCTAAAGCGGCTAAACGACATCATTGTTGAGGAGGGTCCTGCTTGGGTCTACGTTTACTGGGGTCCAAGGTATGGCTGAAGATTAAACGTGGTGTGGACGGTTGATAGACGCCAGACAGTGGCCCCATGTCTGGGATCCATTGGCTGTTACGGTAGAGCCAAACGCTACCAGGGCTAAAAAGTAATGACATGGACGTGGAGTTTGGAACACCACTGTGAGACATCGAAATAAATGTGAGTAAGAATTGGATAAGGAATCCAAGATATGAAAAGTACCAGGACGGGCTCCTCAAAGCACAAACGGGAGTTCTAGGTACTTCATTGGGTTTGAGTCGATGGCTCTAGGTACTACCAATGGAAGTTGCGATCCAAGTTCTGGGTCTGTCTGACCCGTTGGTTTGGCTGGAGGCAGAATTCGTCAGGCAGGTAAGGTTCCATCGGAGGAGCATCGACCTTGTCTCCTACATCCCCTGCCGTCCAATCTTTCAAATCGTTAACGGCAAGACCGATGCAAATGATAGTTACCTGCTTCTAAATCAGCAAATAAACTTCTTCCACGATAACTACCTTACAGAAAGCGAAAATTCTTCATCTTCTTCCCACCTGACATCGATAGTCGACATCTAAACAGCCCACACCGGCATTGATCACCGAAAACTCACTCGCACATGTTCCCGGTACGTTCTGCACTAACAGTTTACCCCAACGGTTTTTGTGATTCGAGAACACTGTTACGATTCGAGGGGATATCATAGCACAGGTACGAAAAATGTGTTAACTGCCTTTAGCCACAACCGACGACCAGTTCTAAACTCTAGCGGGTGTATTCGAGTCTCAACATGATATCGTCAATCTAAGCACCAACTTCCATTGTTACTGTAGATGCGGTAAATAACATCAGCGCCACAACTCTTCGGCTGCAAACCCCCCGGCCAGGATAACATGCAAACCCCTGGTACCGCGAGAGATCGTTGCCCTTTCATTAGTATCACTTTTTAGACGTCCCGAAGATGAAGACTCTCCAGTTTCTGACGGGAGGCTGAAAATGGGAGAGCTTTCAGCACACTGCCACAACCGGACGCCGAGGGAGACCAGCCACCACCAAGTCAGATACGTTTCTTGGCTTCTGTGATGCTGACTGAAGTAACATTCGCCTCACTGGAATATCCTTGGCCAACCCTCCAGGTTGGACGCCATCCGATATGTCTGTCTTGTTCCTGAGGTGGGCTGGACTAGCTAGACTGCGATCTCCCCTCCAAGATGTCATGTCTGGGTGGTCTTGGATCGCTGGCGCAGCATTTCTGTTTGGTGGAAATGTTTGTCTTGTCTGTGAAGATGTCTCACCGTGAAAAGCTAAGCGCTCTTTAATTAGAGCATTGATCACAGGCGCTCCCTCCTGTCATCCTCCTTGGACAGAGCAAAAAGCGAGGCAAGACCAGATTTACTCCCTGGTCGAACCCCTGCTCCTTGGCATTGTTAATTGTCAACGAATATGGAAGCTTACTGACAAATGATTAGTTCTCTGGCTCCTCTGGATTCTACCATATTTGGTCATCTATGAGAAGAAGTTTGGCATTGAACATGGGTACTAGATACAGATTCACCGTGCCATTGATCAGGTCGCCTCTACCAGGAGTATTCCATAACTCATCGACATTGATGCTCACCAACCGAAGACAACCCCTCATTCGAAGTGTTAGTTAGACACGGATTGTGGGGTTGCCATGCGGCACATCCCCCGTACCCACCCTGCAACTGAACTGTCACCAATCACTAGATCACTCGTTCACAACCGCGGTGACGGTATCCTATCAGTTTAGTCTGCCTCCCATCCTGATCGTCGTCAGTCGGCCCGTTACTGTTGATATGCCTTCTTATGCTTTGAATAAGCACAGATGCTGTAAATAGCAAGAGGGCAAACGGTCTCCTGACTGCATCCATCCCGTTTAAGTGACATGACAGGCTATGTTGGCAGGTTGGCTAGGAAGGATCTATTGTCCCTTATTCATCTACGGATATCCGGGTTACTCACGTGCGTCGGTCCCGGAAATGTTGCTAACTGCTGACTAGCTGTCTTGGATATTCGCTCATCTCACCGCCGTTGGTTGGCTGACTGATAACCAGAACAATCAACCTTTCGGCATACCATCTATTCCGACTCCCAAGGAACTTCGTTCAAGTGGATATTCTTCTCCAGTTTAAATCAGTCGTTGAAGCCAGTGTTGCCAGTTCATTCTGACTGTGTTTGTCCCTCCATGCTTATCCAACGTTAGGTAGCAGTGAGGGAATATAGAATATCGGCGAACAATTGCTACGCCTATGGCTAGTGATGATGCCACCCAAACTGCACCTGTACGAAGGGGAGAAGTGTTCTGGAACAAGCGTCAGTTCTACTAGCTCTCTGTAGTTTCGTAACCGGCCGCGCATCGCATTGCATCAACGCACACAAACCGCGCCGTTCCCCGCGGTGCCCACCCACCTCGATCATGTACCATGACGGCATTAGACGTGCCCGTTTGGGAAAAGTCCTCGATTCGATCCACCACCAGCAACACCTATACACTCTCATATAGACAGAGCCGCTCACTACAGCTCTGATGTTGAATACAGCTAATGTCAAATAGAGTTGTCAAGAGTTGGACTTGATATGAGTGCTGATTTCATGGCACTAGTGTTGATATCCATTGTGCTAAAGTGGCTTGTCGCTCCAGTGTCTCGTTAAGTCATCAGACCTTCAACCGGAGATGTAATGCCGGTACTTACACCAGACCCTCCTTTGTCAGCTCGCTCGGGTTTTCACACAATCATCAACTAAAAATGTGAGCAGCACAGCCATCTTTCGCTATAGCATACGGATCACATAGCAGAGGACCAGGTGCTATATTATTGCCCGTAACGTAAAAGAATTCGAGCTCACGTCCCCAGGTGATTATCACTTTGCCCAGCTGCAAGCTTTAATGTATCCTCCAGATCGCCCATGCAAGAAACTAACGGGATGACATACAAATCCCTCTCACGGATCTAATTTGGCCAAGCGTGGCATGCTTCCGTCTATATGTAACATACCTACAGTGCAGCTGCTCGAAACCCAAGTCGATTCAGACAAGGATGGCTGCTGATAAGCTGCACATATGAACCCAGGGTCCAGGCAGGCCGTTCCACATGGATCCGATCATCCCGATGATAAACATCACTCAGTACGTTTCTTGGAATCCAGCACGGTCGTAGAAGTTGGTTGTTTATTGGCCTATCAACACTGTCTCTTGCTTCCAACCCACCTGAACGAACAAGAAAGGAATGCACACCACAAGGTCCCTGACAACTATGGCATAAGCGACTCGTATGCAATTTTGCAAGGGGAGCCGATATAGCCTACTCCTGCTTCTGGGTTGGAGGTGGAGCGCCGCCAGTGGTGGGAAGACCCATAAAGATCTTGAAGTAGTCCTTCACGCGTTGTTAGTAAACAAGTCCGAAGGTATACCCAGTCGCCATCGAAATTGCGCAGGAGTACTTACATAGATCATCCACTGAAGTCCGGTAAGAGTACCGATCATGACAATCCGCACTGGGAGACCATTCCATAGGCCACCGAAACCAATGTCCTTGTATATTCTGCTCATGGCTCCGCCGAAAGCCTCACCAGGTTGACGGTTGGAATTCAACTTGCTGACCATAACATCGGCAGGGTGGGAGACGATGGCGCACAAGATACCGGCCAGGTAACCACCAGTAAACGAGACACCAGTCTGTGCAGCCTTGCTATAGTCACTCTTCTGCCCAGGGAGGCGATCGTAGATCATCTCAACAATGGTTTCAAACGAAGCAAACTTCATCATTGTATAGGGAATTTGGCGACCCCATAGCGGATATAAGCCTTTGTATAGTCCAGCGACGCCTTCCTTGCCTGTGATGGCGCTGATGCCTTGGACTGTTCCGGTGTAGGGGTTAGGGATCGAGCCTTGCATACGGACCTTGACGGCTTCGAAGGGGCAGAGGGCAAGATCAGCGAGAAACTCAGCAGAGGCAGAGGCTGCAAGATAAAGACCAGTCTTGTACTTATGTGCGGCCTCAGGACCAGCCATATCAGAGTACGTTTTCTTGAAATATTCGTACCAACCATACTTGAAAGCGCCTTGGGCAGAGTAGCCAAAGAGGGTTGGACTCCAGCCCGTGAAGATACCACGAACGCCTTCAGCACGGTAGATCTTGCCCCAGGCCTGAAAGTTACTAGTGTAGAGTTTTGAGTCAACTTGTCGACGGGTTTTTACAAGATCCAAGGGAGTTACGGCAGCGTGAGTGAAACCCTGATTCTGATGAGTACAGTTTCTTTATGCTGGATATTGGTAAGCCGGGAAATATTCCTCGGCTGAACACCAAGATGGGCACTTACACAGGCCATCAGACCACCAAAGGTGCAGGCGGCATAGTACTTTCCAGAGTATAGCTCGATCTTTCCGGCCTTGGCTTGAGCTTTTGCGCTCGCCTTTTCAAATTCGGCTGTCGCCTCGGCGCTCAGCTCCTTTGCTTTGCCCTTCGCATCTTGTATGACGGAGGAGTAAGCAGGAAAGAGCTCAAGGCGAGCCTCATAAGGAGTACGGGGCTTTGCTAAGAGGGGACTGTAGACCGTTCCTTGGAGGACATCACTGGATGGGTGCAACGGGGACATTATAGCAGTCCGATGCAGGCGACGATGTTCTGCCAGTCCAGAGCTGATCAATCGATACTCTAAGCAAGAGGACCACGTAGAATGATCGCAGTGCTAGATAAGGAGGAGACAAAGAAAAGGCGCAGATACAAGTGCACGAAATACGAACTGCCCGATTGAGCCGGCCGTCGATACAATGCGATTCGGGATAAACGGTTGCTGCTGTTAAACGCACCTGATATGACCTTTCAGCTCCAGCGAGAGAGCTTAACCCACAAGCTATTACGCCGTAATAGGTATTGAGAAAAGATATCGCAGGATGGTAAGTAATATGAGAGAAGGAAATCAGGAAACGTCCAAGGAAGGTTGGTGTAGTACCTTATCTTGCGGAGTTAAGGTGGTATGCGACTTCCAATTCCGTGAATAACGGGGAGGATGACGCTCGTAGCAGGTACATTTGAGCGGGTGGTGACATCACGCTTATCACATCTACCTAGATGCGCTTTCTCATATCATATTGGACACTGGTCTTATTTCACCAATGCAGTGCCATTCATTCTCTGAATTAGTAGGTAGGTGCTGGCTCCCACCATAGCTCAACCATTTGCTTCGCCTTTGACACATACACATATATTCCACTTGTTGACTTGGATGGATCTCCTTTGAACGCTAATTATGAACTTTAGCGGGAAGATCCACGGCCTGCAGCTGGGGCTTGTTCCCGTAGCTGTGGAGATACTAGCTTGAGCTCTGTGATCATTAAATCCCGATGTGTGATTTATTTCGACACTACATATCAAACATATAGGATGATAGAATAAATGAGGCACAATTCCGGTCATATCCATCATATTCCTGTCATCTCGAATCAAGCATGTTTAATTGTCAAGCTGACAACAAACTACCTTACCTATGCCCCTAGTGTTAAAGTGAATAGTTGTAGTAACACCAGGCATAGAGTCTCTTGGCTGATAGAGGAGTGTTTGTCGATTCACCATTGAAATGACCCATGTCATGATGCTAACAAAAAAGCTCCCATTTTTTACTCTCTGCCCCACCATATTAGAGCCTTTTTGCGTGACCCCAAAAGGTGACTGACCGTACAGAATCCTGCCCCGCGATCACTTCAACTCCCCAAACTTTCAACTTGAACCAACTTGTGTGTCAATCACTACCAACCTCTTTTCTCGCACTCTTTAGAAGAGCTATTGTATATAAAAATGGCTACCGCTACCGCTACCCCTACTGCCACAACGTCGGGTGCGACACAGCCCTTTGTTACAAAATGGTCTTCTCGATATCGTGGGGTATGTACTTCTCATGACACCACTTTACGCTCCGGGCTATAGGCATATAGCTTCTATGGAGAATACTGATCCTTAGACTTATGACTGATACATCACAGGCCACTGTCGAAGACCTCGACCCTCCAGCCGCACTCTCACTCAACCCCTCCGACGCCATCTCCCTCGCCCTCATGTCCGCCTTTGAGCGCGACTACACGCATCTTACCATCGTCGATGCCGACACCCGCGCGTTGCTAGGCTACATATCCATTCCTCACCTTCAATCCCTTCTCGACTCAGGCAAGGTCAAGCCTGAAGATCAGCTCTCAGCCGCCATGACACGCTTCCAGCGCAAGGGCCGTACCTACCAGGTCATCACCATGGAGACGACCCTCGAGGAGCTTGAGAACTTCTTCCGTGGCGGCGCACCTGATGGACCGTGGAAGCAGGAATTTGCCGTTATCACGGATGAGAAGAGGAGGTTTGTCTTGGGCGTCGCGACAGTACAGGACCTCGAGGAGTTTGTGAAACGAAGACCCGAGTAAAGTGGGTTATTTTTAGCATGTGATATCAATGCCAGAGCTGGGACCCAAATACCGAGGAACAAAGGCCGCCGGAATATAGCGCAAGGAGCAAAAGAAAACAAGAATCAAGCATCATGGATGGGCGTTTGGGAAATAATGGCCTGAGTATCATGGGGGGCTACGGTAGGCTAATAACAGCCAGCCAAGCAGGAAAGCTGCTTTCAACATAGCGCGATATAAGGGATAATACACATTTGCGAACAAAAATGGTGTGTGGTGCAACTGGTGCATAGAAACTCAGTTTAGGATGACTTGGTATCGGTCTGTCAAATTATATTTGTCTCATGAGCAACTATTGCATGAGTCACTGAGCGATAAACAAGCATTGTTGCCGTCAGTCGTCTATACTAGGACAAGTAATGTTTGGGTGCAACCCCATCTCTAAGCCTGGTAGTCGTAGATGAGCTTGGCGGTGACCTTCTTGTCACCCTTGGTCACCAAGATGTGCCTCACATATCTCCTCTCGCCGTCGATCTCCTCGAAGCCCCAGATCTGATTAGCGACCCAGCCGTTGTCGACGCTTTCAGCGATGCTCTGGATGAACTTGCCATCGCCCTCGGTAAGCCAGCCAGTCTTGAGGAAGTCCTCCTCAATCTCATCAAGAGTGACGAACCTGGATCGACCCCTGACGGTGCCGAAGAGCCAGTCCGTGTGCTCGCGGTTGTTGAAGTCGAGGCAGCGGTTCTCGTGAGTGCTGCTCAGGCCAGAGGCAGACTGGGTGATGTCGATGTGGGTGAAAACGTCGGTTGAAGTGTTGGGGGGCTTGGGAGGGGCGTTGTACTGGTTGATATCAAGGGTGATGGTAGCCAAGCCAATTCCCTTACGAGTGAGGTATCCGATGCCCTGTAAGCTGAGGATAGGCTCAGAGCTATCGGAGAGAGTCTTGTTCTATTGCGAACCACTGTCAGTGACAAGATACAGGGGTACAGTATGTTGAAGCGGAGGAGCGCAGCATACGAGAACCCATTTACCACTGAGGTCAGAAGTGGTCTTTTCGGCGGGAGCAGCCATTGTTGTGTTGTGTTGTGGTTGCTAGGAATATCAAGATGTGGGTATTCGTGTAGATATTGTTTGACGAGGAACAAAACACCTTTGGTAGGTCGTTGGTGGTATTGATAAGTAATAAGGCTGCGTTGCTGGCAGATGGTGGATCGAAATGACGCTATCAAGGATTCAGAGCGCAGATGTTATGGTCCTTCCTCAGAATATTAGACACGCCACAAATGACCTGTACTGGGTAAGTACCTACAGTTGAGACACGCAACACTTTCACTGAGTGGGAAGTACAAGGTAAGGTAAGGTAGGCAGGTAAGTTCAATGTCGAACCAGACAACTGGCCCCTAGGTAGGCCCTGCAGAGTCTTGCCTTATATACCTATCTTTTGTTTGCCAACAACGAGGCTGAGTGAATGAATGATTGCGTTTGTTTATCACAAGCAACGCCGAGAGAGGCGCATGATCGCCGAGGTCAAAAACATCCATGGCTAATCGCAGAGTCACGTTTCATTGAATTCTGTAAAGAAAACCACGGCCCAGTTCGAGCTATCTTTCCAAGCATTTACCAAAATAGTAGGTGTTCAATCTTCGCAAGACACATAGTAGGGGTGCGTCTATGTATAGTGCGGGGGAAAGCTACGTTAAGAAGAGGCAGGCTGAGCGGCGATGGCACAAGACAAAAGACGAGACAGGAATCCCATTCGAAACTTGAGATGACGGGAATAATTCGAATAAGGAAGTTGAGCCGCGAATGCGCATACTGTAGAGTAATTATCCGTAAAATACCTAGGTAGCTTCGGATTTGCCAAGAAGCGGACTTCTCTTTGGTCCCGGTGGGTGGCTCTGAAATGGAGGCTATCAGAATCCCCTTCATTTTACCACAACACATGGATGCTTTACTTGCATCATATCATGACAACTCACCACCTCATGAATGACTAGGCGTGTAGTAGATTCCCTAGGTACTCCGTACCACCTTATACAAGTCTCAGTCGTCAGTCGTCGTTGCAAGAATGACGTCTTCCCTCCCCCTCTCTTATTCATCATATAACATTGCCCCTTGCAGTAGGTGCTTATTCACTTGGCATGGATGGCAGCATCACATCACCCCGACACGTCAAACCCTCTCATGTTCTCAAAATTTCACGACGTCGACCAAGACTCTCCCCCAGAGTCTCGTCCCCGCATTGCCAAACCTCAGTCTCCACCTTGGCATGGATATCGCGACTCCAACTTCACCATTTCGCTTCCACATGTTGTTTAGTCACCATCACAAGCCTCGGCTCAAGTCACGGCGAGCATTCTTTTCTATCCTTCATATGGAGTTGATCCCCAGATCATCCTACCCTTGTCGGAAAGATCTTCCATGAGCAATAATGCTGTGTACACACAACTACGCCCGACATCACAAGCAGTGAAACCCTCATCTAACATGTAACTAGTATATTTGCCTATAATTATTAGCCTACCCTCGACTTGGGTACACTCATCTCCCACGACCTTTGCCCTCCGTATCCCCTAGCGTCCAGGTCGTGCGTGTATAGCATCTTCATCTACCTCCCCAGACATCACCATCACCTGCTGGCTGCGCCAATTGTCATCTGACACTAGACCAGCTGAAGCTTCGACCCTGTCAAGTCTTGTTGGCCCTGCTCCTCATGCCGTTGGCTATTGTCGTCCCGGGTATCGTCCGTCTCTTCCAGCAACAGGCGGGTTCTTCGCTAAGTCGAGTTCATGCAAGAATCAAGCCAAAATCAAATGCGAATCTTCATCCATGCATGCATGCATACGCACGCCATACAAATCATGTCATGTCACGTCGTCGTCTTCGACCATTTCCCAGCTAGCTCCTCTCAAGGCCACCACTTCATCTTCTTGTAGCTCTCGATCACCTCCTCGATCAACTCCTTCGTGAGGGCAGGTTTCTTGTACTCAAAACCCAATAGTGTCTTGAGCCGCGTTCCGTCCATACTGAGGTCCGTATCCTTGAGTAATTCCTTCTCCATGAATGGAGTCAGCGGGCCCGGTCGTGTAATGCCTGCATCTGCGAGGAGGTCGGCCCATGGTCCCAGAAGCTCATCATTAACATCGTCCACAACACTATCGAGGTTGAGTCGAGCAAATGTGCTGATAAGCTGGCCCTGGAAACCTGTCTCAATCTTGAAGATATCACCAATAATTGTCGCGATGGTGCCCTGACTTGTCGCACCCTCATCCACGATGTTGAAGATAGGGATCTTGCCCATACTGGCCTCGTCCCACTTTGCCTTGCCTGCATCAAACCATGCTGCGATGTCCCACAAAGCCCGTGTTACATCGTCAATGTGTGCTGTGTTAGTTCGGAGGTCCTTGGTCCAAAGCCACTTCATTTCGTCTTCAAGGTGTTGATAAGTGCGAGCCATGCACAATGCCGTCGCGACCCACTGTGAGGCATAAGGTCCATAGACGTGCGGTAAACGCACGATGATGAGGTTGAGGCTGCACTGTGCATTAGTGAATTGAATGCTCAAAAGTCATGATCCCACTATACCCTTCAATTTTGGAAAGCTCCTCCTCGGCCTGCAACTTAAACACAGCGATCCGGTTCCAAGGTTTGAGTTTATCTCCCTCCTTGCTTGGTGACGAGTCGGACTTGTACACCATGCCTGTGCTCAGCTCAACAAAGGCCTTGACTCCTCTTTTGGCCGCCTCTTTGCCCACTGCAATAGAGAGGTTCAATGATCGAAGCTTGTAGACCTCATCCTCCTGTGAGTACCTCGTCTCACCCCCACAGTTAAAAACATAGTCCCATTGTTTTCCATCTGGTCGGTCAAAAATTCGTGCCAATCCTTCTGGAAAGAGGGGAAACATGCAGTTAGCCAACTAGTCATACACAAGGCAGCCACCTGCACCAGCAAGCGGGGCTGCCAGTTAACAGAGTAAGCAGTGTAGAAACTCACCAGGTCTGCTGGCATCAGCCTGCATGAATTTGTCTTGTGAGCAGGCTTCGGAGAACTCAGGAGCTAGCCATGCCAGTTGAGGGAGTACTTTGTCAACGAGCCTCACGTCGGAAGCGAGCTCGTTCTGGTGGATATGGAGGGCCAGAAAGCGGCCAATGTAGCCAAGCCCTCCAATAATCAAGACCGAAGGCTTCTCGGCCATGTTCGTGAGAGTTATGTGGTTCGGGTCGTGATATAATCGTGCGTAAACGTGGGGTCAAGGTGACGGTGCAGGTGCCTCGACGTCGGCGGGCGCGAAGGCGATATATGGGAAGGTATAGATGAAATGTACAACAAAACACGCTTCAGCTCTGCAGGTCTAGTGAGGTGCCTTGGCGAAATTCGCTTCTAATGTGAACGAGACAGACAAATGGTTGCTGTGCGAGGAATATTGAGCCCAAGTGCCAGGACAAGATTGTTCGGCTTCAGGGGGTAGAGGGTTGTAGCTGAGTAAATGGAAACCGGCCAAGAGGTCCCACGGGGTGCCGAAGGTGGACGGATATGCGACTCGGTGTGATTTAGCGTTGGTCGAAGCGAGGTGGTTCGGGTTTCTCGTGGATAGAGAGCGGGCTGGGCAGTGACCTAGCACAATAGTTTGATCGAGAGGAGGGCCGTAACCTGGCACGGAGTCACGCAAGTAAGTATATATTAGGGCGAAGTGCTTGGTTCGGACATACAGTAGCACTGATCTAGCACTTTTTATATCGAGCCCCAAAAGTGCTGGTGCGGCGACGGCGTAGAGACGATGTGCGGGAGCAAAGGGGAACAAGTTTGATCCAAGGCGGGAAGGCAACGGGAGGACGGACGGAAGACGGAACCAGATGGGCGGGATGGTATGGGATGGGAGGTGGGAGTGGAGGGAAACACGATCAACAGATGTAGCAATTTCAACTTTGCGAGGGCACGAGGCGGCGCACCAACCGCTCTCTGGGACGAGCGATGGATAAACAAGGGTCTGAACTAAAGTCAAGAGACCCAACTCTGGATC